TGTGTGGGTGTCTCCATAGCATCAATCTGAGAAATTAACTAAACTTTTGACCAATGGGAGTAATAAGCTTCTTTCTCTTTTCTAATTTAAGTTTGAGAGTAGCTTTGGAAATGTTTGAGAGTTGGGGTTTTCAACCAAAGTCAAGCAAACTAATCATTTCCTGAAACTGGTATTATCAAAAAAATAGCTTCATCACCAAAAATTCAGAAGTATCAACATATCATGCTAAATGGCTTTGGTTTATCCTCTGCTGAAGCCAGAGATTCATCTCAATAATAAATGAGTTTGTGAAATTTATGGACCAAAAGCAAAGGGAAGAAATTCTGGACCAGCTGTTAATATGTGTGTTGAGCAAAACACAAGAAATAAATGGTAGAATATCAAAAACTGCCCAATACATTCAAAGTGACATTTGAGCAAAGACTTGGAAGGAGCTGTGAGAGTTATTCACGCAGATACCGGGACAAGAGCATTCCAAGCATAGAGAATAACTAGTACCAAGACATGGTTCACACCAAGTACGTCCGAAGAATAGGAGGGGGTCAGAGTGGCTGGGGTAGACTGAGCGAGGAAGAGAACGACTGGCAATAAAATCAGAGCGAGAGTGGAGAGGCTAGATGATATATGTCCCTAGGGGCCAGTATGACTCTCTTTTCACTTTGAGTGGATGCGGAGCCACTGGAGTACTTAGGCAGAGCAGTGCTATAATCGAACTACTTTTTAAAGGATCTCTAACTGATGTATGGAGAATACACTATTGGGGGCCCAGAGAGAATCAGGAAAACCAGCCAGGATTCTCCTGGATTAGTCCAAATAAGAAATGACAATGGTTTGGACCAAGGTAAAAAGAGTAGAATTGGTGAATGAATGAATAAATATATAAACTATTACAACCTGACAATGCAGGAGAGAAAAAAGAAGATTGCTAAAGCCACATCCTTGAGTAGGCACAGTGATATCTAGCACAGGAGTGGGGGAGCTGCCCCTAGACAGAAGCAGGGGCAGTTCATCCACAGTGAGAAAGGGGAACAGAGCCCATGGATACAGATGCATGAGGGCAGGATATGTGATGGTGTGAGCTTGTGGTACTTCTCTTTTGATGACTTCTGTTTTCTAAGGAAAACAGGAAACAAGGTCCTTATCTGAGAGTTAGGAGAGGGACGAGGGGTCAGAAGACTGAGGAGAGGGAAAGGTATGAAGGGTTTGTTTAGGAGAAAGGGAGTAAATCGCTCAGGAGCAATAAACGCACCTGAGGCTGCAGCCAGTGAGCGGGCCTCACGCCTGAGGCGCGCAGCTCTGGGCTCTCCTGCCTCGGTCACTGCACAGAGGCAGCAGCAGAGCAGTGGAGACGCAGGCTCAACCGACGTCAGGCTTTTGTCCAGGGCAAGGGGTAAAATCAGAGGAGGGTAAGAGAGTCATAATATGTGCAGCAATGAGCACAACGATTTCCCATAAAATATTAGCTCTGCAAGGCGGGAAACAGGGGCCTAAGAAATGAAAACCCGTGGAAAGGTGGCATGGTCGATGGCTTGCAAGTCTGGTGGAACCAAAGGGTTGCTCAAGTTGGGGCCTCAGAGAGCGTGAGCTGGACATACAGGAGGTGGTGACCAGAGAGGAAGACCTGAAGTTGGGATCGTGGTATATCAGAAATAACTAAGAGAATGAGTGGTACAGTTACAGTTGAGGATGGGTCATTAGAAAAGATTTTATCAAGGAAAGGAGAAAGCAGGGCAATGGGGGGGGGTCACCATCCTAGATATTGAAAGCACCTAAATAACCACCGCAGTAATTCTGGGAGAGCGACAGTGAGACGGGAGCTAAACGCTCCAGGGAAGGTGAGAGGGCAACCCAGAGATAACTGAGGGGCTGATGTAGTAGTGCCCTCTGATCTGCGATTTCGGTTTCCATGGTTTCAGTTACCTGCCATTAACCATGGTTCAAAAATACTAAAGGAAAACTCCAGAAATAAACCATAACTTTTAAATTGCATGCTATTCTGAGGAGCATGGTGGAACCTCACACCGTGCCACGCTGCCCCATCTGGGGCGTGAATCATCCCTTCGCCCTGCGCATCCGCACTGTGTGCGCTGCCCGCCCATCAGCCGCTCAGCAGTCGTCTCAGTTATCAGGCTGACTATCCTAGTATCCTAAAGCTTGTGTTCACGTCGCCCTTATTGTTGTTAATAATGCCACATTTACATAGCATTTATTACAATATACTGTAGTTGTTCTATTTTATTATTCGTTATTGTTAATCTCTCACTGTGCTTAACTTATAAACTAACCTTTATCATAGGCATGTATAGACAGGAAAAAACATAGTATATATAGGATTTGGTAAGATCCACAGTTTCAGGCATCCACTGGTCATCTTGGAACATTCCCCCATCAATAAGGGGGGACAACTGCATAAGGAAAACTGGATTTGGCCTATTTGTTTGTGAGTCTCGCTGTCCTCCTTTGTGAGCTGGAAATGCTGCCAGTTCATCCAATGTGAGGTTCACACAAGCATTGGGTGTGGTGATGCAGGCAGAACATCTGTCACCCATTGGGAGTGACAAAGGTCAGATTGCAGAAATATTATATTTTTAAAAGGACACCTGTGACATCCTGGGTGTATCTCACCTGAGGTTGAAGAGTGTAGCTTGGAAAGCTCACTGAGCTCAGGTATAACCCAGGAAGTCACAACCATCATAATTCCCCAGGATGTTTCGATAAGCCTGCGCCGGACAAACATCCACATCCACGGCATCCCTGTCTCCCAGGCAGACACAGGTTCTCTCTGTCAATTCCAGCCATTGGCAGACCCCGGGCTTGGCACCTTCCAGCCCTAGTGTCTAATGCACAAGGCAAAATCATAACTGCTTACTCCGGCGCACCTCCCCGTACTCGGGCCAGGCTAGATGGAAGAACCCAGGGGCCTGAGAGTCTCTGAGGAAGTGGAGCCCTGGATTCTGAACTGCGCTGAACCCAGAAGTGAGCCAAGGCCCCAGGGCAGTCAGCCTGACTTGCTCCGAGCACAGGGAGCTTGGGCCAAGGCCTGGGTCAAGCCCTTTCTGCTTCTTTTCTGGATCCATACATGAATTCAGCCCTAGGCAGAAGTTTCCACCAAGAGATGAGGTCTTGTCTAGAGAATAGGGAAGTTTGTGTTTTACCAGAAACAGGCAATAAATTCAGAGACAATAAAGTTGATGGAGTAGGAGCTGTAGATTCAGGGAAACTGGGTGGCACCAGCAGGGCTGCTAGAATGGAATGGGTCCATGTGATAAGTTGGCCCTTCTTGTCCATTTCCTGAGCTCCCCGCCTCTGGCTCACTGGCACACTCACATTATCTTAGCTGGGCCGAGCAATGAGCAAGCTTTGCTTAGCACTACTCAGCGCAATCCTGAGAATGCCTCCCTAGCCGCCTCTACCCCTACGCTACCCAGTGACCACATCGGCCTTGTTCGTTGCCAATTTTCCATGGAATGAAGGGAGGGAGGGAGGGAGGGAGGTCAGAAATGAAGGAGCACAGAACACAGCTCCTCCTGTCACCAGCCAGTGCTCTAGACTACGCGCCAAAACCTAGAACACTCCAAGTATCTTCCCTGAATTCTTCTCCGAAACAATCTGCCTGAGCTTAGCAGTCATGTTTCTATCCAGCATTCCCCTTCTCCCTTTAGCATGTATTTATATTTACGTTTACATATATATGTGTGTATATATATGGAAGGAGAGCACCACTCTTGTCTGAAAACATTTTCTTGATCCTTTCCCTTCCCCTAGCTAATAAACACTTACCTGCTCTAATGCAAAGTGGTGCTTTGATGCACCACTGCTAGAAAGAGACGAGAATCATTCCCTCAGAAAAATGGCTGAGCTTCCGCTGTTTGCCCGGCTCCCTCCTATTTGCCGAGGAATCCAAGTTCTGCAAAGTAAAACTGCACTCCTGTTTATCAACGGTCATTTACCAGTCCAGGACTGCTGACACTGATTAGCACTGAAAGTGACTTTTGTCTCTTGAGTCCTTTCTGAATAGATTCTAAATAGACTCGTTACAACTTAAGAAACCAACAAGGAGGCTTCTAGGGAAAATATCCAGGGAGGAATAGTGGTATGACTGTGACATGAAACATTCTTTTGTCCAACGTATTGCGGATAATTATCTGGAATTGAAGCAGTCTATCTGGGGAGAGATAAGTTGGCATGTGACTAGGAAAGGAAGCCAGCCTCTCAAAAGGTATGTCTAGGGAAGAGAAGAGAGGACTCTAGAGGAAACATTAAAAAAGAAAAACAAAAAAAGGTCAAGGTCTAAAAATGTTTACCCAACAGACAAGTAATTAAGGAACAATGACTTGCCCTACAAAAGGATTTGTGGTAAGAAAGAACTCTGATAGATTTAAATTACATTTGGTTTTTAAATCTATAATTTTCAAGCAGCTTTTCCAGCATATAAAAAGAAAGCACACCTGTGTACTTCCAATTTAGCAAATCAGCCATATCATTCCAGTAAACCTCCTGTGAACAGTAGCTGCTGATGGAGACCAGTGGTAGATGAGTGAAGGGTTAGTTCCACTGGCCTTAGAAGTTCTTTCCCTTATTACTCCTCTCTGAGTTGGGCACTGATGCTTTGAAGGAGCCCAGGATGGGCCTTGGCAGGCATCAAAATCACTTATAGAACAAGGTTAAAAGACAGATCCCTAGGCCTCATCTCCAGGAATTCTGGCTTGATAAGTCTGCGACAGGGCCAGTGGCTATGGTTTTGGCAGGCACCCAGGGTGACTCTGATGCCACTGGCCCAATGGAGCACATCTTGACAAATCCTGGCCTAGACATGATGCCCCCTAGGCTGCTGTGTCAAGAGAAACTGCCCTGCCTTCTGGATGCAGCACATCCCCTGGTTCTAATGCTCCCCATAAGCCCGCACGTGGTGGACAGCTGCTGATGGACACTGCTGTGCTGGGCAAGCCCATCTGTGGGGCTCGGTGTGACACACCCCTGATTTCTCTTTATTCTGTTAGAACGATTACAGGAAGTTATCTATGCAATGCAAGGATTTTGTGGTGGGCGTGCTGGATCTATGCCGAGACACAGAAGAGGTGGAAGCGATTTTAAATGGTGATGTGAACTTCCAAGTCTGGTCCGACCACCACCGTCCAAGTCTGAGCCGGATCAAACTCGCCATTAAATACGAAGTCAAGAAGGTAAGCTTCCTGCCCTCTCCTGGGCTTCTCACCTCACAGGGCTGCTGGCCTAGTTTTTTGCTCATGCGTATTTTGTGTTCCCCCAAGGTAATAGTGACAACACCACCTCCCCAACTTCAAACTGTTTAGAGCCTCTCTCACTAACCAACCCCCTTGCCTGTACCCCACCCCCCAGCCAACCAGGAGAGAGATATCATGACAGTCCTTACATGAACAGGCTTTGAGCCTCGGGAACAAAAGAGGGGATTTCAGCCTCCAAACCACTGATAGGGCCAACGTCACAGATAGCATTCCCATCGTGAGTAAGTCAGTTCACAAGTTTGCATGAGAAACACATTACTCAGGATTTTCAATAGCATGTATTGCACTTTCTCCATGCGACTGGGGATGAACTGTGCAGAAAATGTTTCAGTGTAGAGGCACTGTGGACTGGCTCTGCGAGGCCGGAGAATTTCACTCCCCAGGCTTATGAAAGTCCATAGGAGAAAGCTCCCGTCAACCTTCACAAGAGCAAGCTCAGCCCACTGCCTTAATCAACCTCAAGAGGTTTTAACAGCCACTGGTACCCAGTAGCCCTCAGACCCACAGTGGCTAGTCAGGCTGAGGTCCTAAGAAGCAAAACTCAGTTATGGTTCCAATTCAGATGTACTCTGGATTCTTTAGAATCTGCTTTGAGGTTAGATGATATCATTGATCCTGATGAAAACTGCAGAGCTCCAAAGATCGAAGATCCACAGATGTGTTTAAATATCAATGTGCTTTCCACATAAGCAAGACGGCTGGTCAGTCATTCAGCGGCTTTCCCCCTTAGCTATTCACAGGGCCAGTACTGGGGATAGTTTCAATGTCCCCAAACAATCTCTAGGCATTTCTCCTTTTGTCCAACTGTCTTAATTTGTGTGGAGTGAACCATCCTTCAACAAACCACATATATCTGTAGAATTCATCTAGAGACAGCTTCTAAGTTTGATATAATCTTCCTACCCTTTTACTTTTAATAATAATCAAAAAGTGTAAGAAAAAGAGCTTTTTTAAAATACTCTTAAGTCCAAAATATAAAATTGGTAAAATATGGAAAAGGTGGCCTGAGATATTCAGAAGTACAGAGTGACGGGAGAGGAAGAGTCAGGCTAACATCTGAAGTGCAGTACTACTTTCTTAGCTCAGGGAAACTCATTTTTAGCCTATCCCAAGAGCTCACTGAGGCTTCTCATCAAAGCACTGCAATCCCTTCCTGAGGCTGCTGACATCTTCATGACCCTGAAGTTGAAACAAACCCTGTGATGATGACTAGCAATGATACAGGTGAGCTTGAGCTTCCAGAACTACAAGCATTCCCTCCCTTCACCAAGCCAGAGGATGCACGGGGTGAAAGGTGAAATGTCTCTGAAGGCCCAAAGAACAGGAGATGCTTAGCATATGCAGATTCAAATTCACAGTTTTAGCTATTCAGGAGCAATTCCCAACAGCCCCTGAAATGCAAGCATTCACCGCTTGTCTGAAAACATGAATCCAAATCTCTTAGCAAAACTGTCCCTGAAGGCAGATCAGTCAGCTAGTTCAGATGTCTGGCCACCACCTCATAGCTGCATGCTCCCTCTCTCTGTCAACTACCAACTACCAAGTACAAATGGCCACGGTGATGAACAAGAAGAGAAAGTGAAGCACTCCATGAGCATGATGGTCCCAGTCAGAATCAAAAGGTTTTACAAGGGAACTCATTTACTCCAGTGGAATTTGCCAGTTAGGGGAGTCATAGAGGTCTCAGGAAATATCCATCACAAATGTCAAGTGCCTGCTGCAATCCGTAAGTAGGATGATAATAAACGACCTGCACAAAATGTCAGCCTTGCTCACTCAAAGGCCGCCCGTGGGTAAATTCTCCCAAGCCATGTGTGTCATCAGGTGACAGGAGAAAGACTCATAGTTTTCCTGGACATTTACTCTATTATGATTTACAAGTGAAAATACCTAATATTAAAAAAGACATTAATATTATAATGAGATTTCAGTTTTAATTTATGAACTTGAGCATGCTCACCTGGACACCATCTAATCCTAGGTCTCGTGCGCTATGAAATGACTAGAACCAAGGCCTATTTACAAACACGCTGCCTTTTACACCTGCTATATGAATCTTCAGGCTCAAATATAAAACCACAAAAAAATTCCTAACGCTCTGCCCACATGGTATCAAAGTAAACCATTAATTCAGTGATTAAAGCAAACTTGTTGTTTTCGGCAGTTTCATGGGCTCCTAATAATTGTAACATTAAGAAAAGGTTTTGTGTTCAAATAAATCAAATACATCTCTTTGCTTAAAGACATTATAGAGCCTACTATGCTTTCCAACTCTAAAAGAAGGAGACAATATGTCTTACTTAACCACAGAACTCTATTTCTCATGAAGCATCTGGTGAAGCTAGTTGTCCATGTTAACAGTCTGGAAAACACTAACGTGGAATCAGCCTAAATATCTGTGAAGTACATCACTCTGAATGAAGCGGGCGCTGTCCTGGGGCTGGCACTGCACCCTGCATCCTGTCTCTCACTCGCATGTCTGTCTGTCTTCAGGCGCCACCCTCATGTCTGGTCCCCTGGCTGGCTGGGTCACAACGTCAGCCTCCGTTGGGTAAAAAAACAGCCATTCCACCATGGCACAAGGACTACCAGGGAAAGAGGAAGGCATCATGAAGGGGCTGTCAGGAGACTTCTGAACATGGCTTCAGGCATGATTCTGAAACTTACCAGCCAGGGGTCTTGGGCAGCTCTTTGAAGCTCTCTGGGCCTCACTCCCCATCTGCAGAGTGAGCATACAAGTTTTTGCCTCAGAGTTTTCGGTGAACGCTCAAATTAATTGATATGAAAAGGAGGGCTCTACAAACTGTCAAGTTCTGTGCAGCTCCACAGAGAAGCATTATGGCTGTCACTCAGTGGTGACCCCCTTCCTTGGGACCACAGGGGTCCTTGTACCCCAGAGACATCCCCTAGCTTGGCCTTCGATATCTCCCTAGGGAATGCTAGAAATGTCCCCCTGTGTAAGGACATCATCCTTATAGCTTAAAATTCCTTCTGAAAAGGCCAAAGGCCTTAACAGTGGTGGTTGTCCATGACTTCTATTTTAAGAGGGTAACTCAGCCTCCCCAGTAACCCAGGTGGACGCGCCATCTGTGTTTGGAGAAGTGGCTAAGAGGGTATTCTTGAGATTGCTACTTGTTAATAGGGTCATTTGAGGAAGTCATTAGCTTTTCCTCATCTATAAAGTTTGGTTAATAATGGTTACTTCATAGGATTTTAAGAATCGAATGGGATAAAGTATGTGTGCCTCAAACAGGGGCAGGCCTCAGCAGCCTGCGGGTATAGATGAGAGATGTTCATACACACACTGCACTGGCTTAGAGTGAAGGCCCACATTATTCAAGGCGTTTCTGTTGCTCATCTCAGTCCATCCCAGCCTTTAAAGCAGAGTCCCTTCAGAACCCTAACTTGCTTCATGAAGAAGCGAGGATGCTTCTCTCCCTGTGCTGAGTCAAATGTAGGCTCAGAAGCAACACCACTTATGTGTCACGGGTAAAGGAAACAATTCCTCCAGCTTTGGCCTGCAGCCTACACACGCGCGTGTGTGCGCGCGCACACACACACACACACACATCCACACACCTCAGTCTTCTCCAGGGCCAATGTGAGTAACAGACTTCTTGCTGTCTCCTCCATTTCTGTCTGTCCTCAGAGAACCATGCCCACATACCCTTCTTAAAGGTCCTCATCTCACCCCCATATCGACTCTGAGCAAGTGCTGAAGGGACTTCCAGCCCCACCAACGGGGAAGACCCAAGAGTCTCTGAATCTGTTTAGGTTCAGCTGGACCCAGGCTCCAGCCTTGGTACTCTCCTCAACTGAGGACACACATCTGGCCCTTCACTTTCATCCCTCGCTCTCTATCCTCTGTGTTGCTCTCCATCTCTAGGCTCACAGCATTCTCTCCCCTGCATCATTTCTTCCTTCTTCCTGACTCCAAGTCTGTCTTAATGAGGATCAGGGGAACTTCCTGTTCACCAAAATAACTCTGAGGGCATGGGTCCTCCAGGCTCAACTGCCAAAGGAGAGTGGGGCAATGAGACCCAGAAGGTCCTATTTTGCACTAGAGGCCTTAACTCCACCTTTAAAGGAGATGCAAGGCCCTTTGGACATAACTAAGCAAAGATCTGATACAGAAACAGCAGGAAAACAAATACCTTGTCCAAAATTACACTACTCCCCCGCAAAAGGCACGCCTCTCATCAGGCAGTAATACCACCAGGACGGGTGGTTAGGTCCACCTGGCAAGGCCCCGCAGCCACCCTCTTCTGAGCTCTACAGACACTGGTCAGCCTGCCGGGATCCTGGGCAGAGTGAGACACAGCCTTGCCCTCAAAGAGCCATCAGTGTAGGGGGGTGAAGACAGGAATGCTGTGACGGTAGCTACAGTTGCCTCTGCACTTCACTAACCAGGCACAGTGAAGTTCACAGCAGTTAGCCTTGTCAGGCTCCCAGGCAGCCCCCAGTTCCAGCATCTGGGCATGTGGCTTTATTTGGGGGATCTCATCATGGCGCCAGCCGCCTTTCCCTCCAACTGATGAGACTCCCCACTTCCCTCAAGAAGCAGCTCCACTTTGCCGAGTCTTACGGGCTCTAGGATTTCAGAGGTGTCCTTTCCCAGCTCTGCCCAGTTCCTGGCGATTCCTGGCTCAGCAAGCTTGTCTCACATGAAATAAAAGACCTGGAGACCTGGGACAGGACCATGGGAGGGGAGAGGGCGGAAGGGAGAAGCCCTCACCAGCCCTACTCAGTAACACAGTTCCCTTTCTTCACGCTGTTGAACTGAGGAAATAACATCCTTTGTGAGTTTCACTCATTTACTCACTCCTCATTTAACAAACCTTCTCTACGTCTAGTATACCACCAGCTCTGTGCTGTGCCCTGGGGGTGCTGAGTAGACCAAGACCAGGCCTTGCCCTTGA